AGGAATTTCTTCAGAAACATCTGCGCTTCCATGGGATTTTTTTTTTCCTATCCCATACCTTTTTAGTTTTAAGTTTAGTTTTAGTTTATCATATATTTTGTATATGATTTTGTTTTTTTTGGATTATGTGGTGATTTTGACTTTCCCGATTGTGTAACCTCCCCTGATTTGACATACCGATTGCGACTTACCAATTGTGACTCCTTTATGGACGTGTGATACACGAAGCTATCATCCACCAAATTTAATTTCAAAAATCTAAAAACATGTACCAATTTAATTTAGTTTTCCTTAGTGGTGTTTGGGCGAAAGTCCTCTTTGAGGGCCTTCCTTTTTTTGGAGGGGGGCAGTGTAGCATTTTTTATTTCCTTTAATAAAATTGAATTTAAAAATCTATTTTTATTTAAATTTCTTAGTATTGGCGCCATCTATTTGCTAGATGCCAAAGATACCAAACTCCATTTGTTACAGGTCACTTGTTTCGATATTTAATTTTTATTAGCACATCTATTCGCTAGATGTCAAACTTCATTTCTTACAGTTTACTTGTCTTGTTTATTAGCGCCATCTATTCGCTATATGCCAAACTTCCTTAATTGCATTTCACTTCTCACTTGTCCCAATCTCACGTCGCTGTGGATTGCGATTTTCTGTTCTAATGATTTCGATCATATGATATCACTTTTTTCTCTCATTTTGTCTGTGGTGAAAGGGTTTTTTGGTTTTCGTTTCTGAAACTGAGAAGAAGGTCTTTTTTCTGGGAATTTGGATCTGAAGAAGACGCGTTTCGGCGTCCGACAAATTTTCCAGTGAAAAGCACTCTGAATCCACTTTTCGATTTCGATTGCATGGGTATCCGATTTGGAGATTTGAAAACCTTGTAAAGTATGCAATTCAGAGTATAGATCGTATTTGTTTGGTTTCTTCTTGGAATGATCACCTTATTTCCGTTGTTATTTCGTTTACTTGAGTATTTAATTACTGGTTTGGATCGGCATATGGTTTGAATATATTTATGTAAAGCTGATTTTCAGACCAGTAAAATTTCCACATGGTACTCAGTAACTACCACCTGGTACTCAGTAAAAGTACCACATGATATTAAGTAAAACTACGACATGGTACTTAGTAACTACCACCTGGTACTCAGTAATTACCACATGATCTTAAGACAATGTTCCTGACATTACAATCGCCCTTTTGGCTAATATCGAAGACTTCTCCTGCCATAGTCATCTGCATCCACTTCTGTTAGTCTGGAGAATACCTAACTACCTATTTACATCATAAGAAACTATATACAGATAAGTCTTAAGTTTGATACACAAGGTACGCTTTTATTTTATAATTTTTGAGACAACAGATTTAATAACCTGGTAAATTATCACTATTTATCCCACATATTGTAGTCAAAATTATTTTTATTTAACGTTATAAGTTATAATTTGATTCATTACAGTATATTCTTGCTTAGCTATGATATTTCATATGAAAATTATTAACACGTATTCATTTTAAAGGTTTTTGTACACGACATGTTTCAAACATCATCGTATTGAGACATACATAAATTTCACCTGTTTTTTATATTAAGTAGCTTACTTAGTTCAAAAATTCGAATCTATTTAAAATAACTTGCGGTTTTATTGGGATCACTGTGACTAATTGTTGATACTTGTGTTCGTTTTCAATAAATGTTTAATGTAGGATAGTTATTTCTGACTTTTATTCCTGATAAACATAATAGACCCTTAATGCTGTTGATTACTTTATTTTAGCTATGTTGTGATATCGTATTTTTCTTTTTTGGTTTCTTACTTTACCACTCTGATAAACAAAGTAAGTGGCGCCCTTTTCACTGTCTTTGACCATACCTATTTGAATTCTTAACATCAATATTAAAATCTCTGTAGCCTATATATTATCATTTTTTATTTTAATATTTAACAACATTAGAAAGTCACTGTGAGTCAGAAGCCTTACCTACGAACCCAGCTTTCCTTTAACCCTGAGCAACGGATTCTTTTTTCATTCTATTTGGGTAACGACAGAAAAGTCGTCACAATATGTGGGGAGGCAATGTGTACAATTTAAAATTGTTATGAAATATACAGGATTTTTCAGAACTAAGATCCATACCAAAGTTATATTTTTCTTATGGAACACACACACACCCGGTATTTTATTTCATTTTTGGATTCTTGGGCCCAAAAAAAGGCAGTTTATTATAAGGGTTAAATATGTTCAAAATCTTTGGTTTTTGAGATATTTAAAGATATCCAAATTTGCATGCTACAATAGAATAGATTATTAACACCCTGTACATTACTTTTCAGAATTAATTCTTATGCTGAGTTTAAAGGTAGAGACATAAACTTTACTGAAAAATGGTATTGCTTCCTTAAATTTATACAGTGCTATCAAAAGTTGCTGATCTATTTTAAGCTTTGAATAAGAAGACTAAGGAAGGAGCATATCAAAAATCTTAGGTACACCGCGATGGGCCTCAAATATGGCCGACTTAAATTCCGGTTTACCAGTGTCGTTCTAATTTTATTTAAAAAATGTAAAACTATGATGTAGGGTAGACGTGGGGTAGACTCAATAATTTGTTGTTTTATTTTACGTTGTGAATAAATGTTGGTAGTTATTAAAATTGTTATAAAAATATATAATTCTAATAAAAATAGATAAGTTATAATAAGTATTTATTAACACAAACATCCTATACTCTACTGAAGCAGGTAAGTCAAATCTTTGTCAAATTAACGTATCTAAATTCTTTGACATCTAATCTTTGACAAGTAATAAATAAAAGCTAAAATGCAAGAAAAATATGTAATTTAGTTAATTTAAATGAATTTCATAAATGATCGATTTACTACACGTATGTATATTATATAGTCACTTACTAGCGAAAAGTTGTTCCATTATTTCACTCAATTTTTGCCGAGATCTACTGCACGCTACACAAACAACTATTTTAGAATCTTTTTCGATAAATCGCGATAGTGTCACTGTTAATTTAAGTTCTGCCACGATTTCCATCTAGATTTACTACCTTTATACAACTATCAGTAGTAGAATAAATAATAAATAACATAAAATAAGCTCCGTAAAGACTGACAAATCCACAAAATTTCAAATCAAATTCAAATGTGTCAAGTGAATCGTCAAACAGAACTGTCAAGGATCCCCACCCTAGAGTGCTTTTATGGTGCTTTTTCCGCCCACCATGCATGAATACATGGATAGCATTATGCTCCTTTCTTAGTCTTCTTATTCAAAGATTTTAAGGATATATTTTATATAAAAACTTTGTTATTTCAAATACAACACTATGTATTTTTTTAAATAAATGAAGCAGATTCAAATGCTGTTTTAAACTATATTAGGGTTTCCTATACCTATCTAGCTGAGATTTTGAATAAAAAGCAATTTTTAAATTAAATTGCAATCAAGATGGCTGGTGTCGCCATGGAAATTTTCTCATTTCAGTCGACATTAGTTTGTGGACATTATTATTTATAATTTATAACAGCTTACTTAAATTTACCTATAATAGTTTAATAAGTAAGTATTCATTATTTTATCAAGAAAAATAAAGTAGTATCTGCTGGCAGAACGAATAGATATGTTACTAGTGATTTTATTTTGTGAGGAAAATTGCTTCTTGGCCACAAGGGCTTATGCTCAAAGATATCCAAATAGGAATTTTCCTGATAAGCGTTCCTTTGAAAAAATATTTACCCTATTTCGTAGGTAGTGTGGTTTATTAAAAACCTATCAGGCAGAAACCTGTCGCTGGAATTGAAAAATATGAATTTGCCGTAATTGGCTCTTTTATAGAAAATCCATATATCTACAAGTCATCGTAAAATAAATCAAAGATCTACTTCTCAGTTTTTCTTGATAGAACAATAAATACATATTTAATAAATATTACTTATTAAACTATTGTAGGTAAATTAAATAGAAGTAAACTAGTATAAATAAAAAAAAAGCCCATAAATTAATTTCGATTTTGAAAATAGCTAGTAACTGTCACTAGGAACTTGCCATGACGACACTAGCTCTCTTGGTCGCGATTTTATTGAAAAAATACTCTTTATTCAAAATCTGAGCTAGATAGGTATAGGAAACCCTAACATAGTTTGAAAGAGCATTTGAATCTGCTTCGATTTATTTAAAAAAATACATGGTGTTGTATTTGAAATAACGAAGTTTATATGTAAAGTAAATTCTTAAAATAGATCATCAATTTTTGATAACCCTGTATACATTTAAGGAAGCAATAACATTTTTCTGTAAAGTTTATTTCTCTACCTTTAAACTCAGCACAAGAATTAATTCTGAAAAGTAATGTATAGGGTGTTAATAATCTATTCTATCGTAACATGCAAATTTGGATATCTTTAAATATCTCAAAAACCAAAGATTTTGAACATATTTAACCCTTATAATAAATGTCTTTTTTTGGGTCCAAGAATCCAAAACTGAAATAAAATACCCGGTGTGTGTGTTCCATAAGAAAAAATATAACTTTGGTATGGATCTCAGTTCTGAAACACCCTGTATATTTCAAAATAATTTTAAAATGTGCACATTGCCTCCCCAGATATACTCATAAAATATTTTGTTTCTTCATCTTTCCGTTTTCGTATAATCAACTAAGGCGAATGAGGTGCGCCACCCGGTATATTAGGGATATATTAATACATTTTTAATGTAAATTGATTTTTGCGTGTTAAAATACAATAGATATCACTGTTTAGGTTACCTATGTTTTTATTCTTTTAGAAACAATATAGGTATGTACATGTAGGTACTATTTTGTGTAGGTATATAAACTATATATATAAACTATTTGAAACATGTGACTATTTTTGACCACAATTCTTAGAATGTATATATCAACAGCTTTAGTAAAATTAAATATGTATATAATTATTATATATCTGCGTTCTTTGCATATTTAACCGAGTTTTATTTTGTTTCAGTTATGCACCTGATTGTTTCGGCCAGCGATCTTAGATCCTAGCTTTCTTGCTTTCATGGAGTAAAATGCTTTCAACCAGTGAATTCGGTCTAGTGATAATTTTGTAAAATAAACAAGCTGCTGCAATTTTTATTTCCAAAGTATTGTAACAATGATGAAGATGGATGATAGAGTTTATAACAATGATTTGTCCTACCCCAAAGAAGAGAAAAAGTGCCTCGTATATAGAATATTTGGTAAATATTTGTTTTATTATTTTTAGTACAAAATTTTGGGCTCAGCCGCTGACCATATGTAAACGTGCCCATAAGTCTATACTTGTAATCTATAATCTGAAAAAAAGCAAATAAAATAATAATAATAATTTGCATAAAATAAGATTTGCTATAGTTCATTCAAATAAACTTTTAGTTACCTGATTAAGCTTGACCAGCCCACTTTTACAGTCAAAATATTTTAGGAAACATCATTAGAAAAACATTTATTTAGAAACAACTTTTTTATTTATTTAGTTTTATTTATTTAGAATAAAACATTTAGAAACAACTACCACCTGAAATTAATTATAAATTAAAAAACAGTTATTATTTACATAAACAAAACTCACCTCTTTAACAGCACTTAACGAACATAAAGGGACATTACTACCGCTTTCCCGTTCAAAATATTCTAATAAAGTTACGATGAGTTTTTTACGGCTACTAAGCTATCTTGTACACTTCGCATTAAAAAGAACGTTCGACTGCAAGGTCTGCTAGTAAAAAAATTTAAGCTTAAAATATCACAACACAATTCATTTAAACCAAAAACTCGTAATACAAAACTAAACTGTCAAAACGAATGACAATGTCACGAAATAAATAAATAAATATGACAACTTGGCAGTTTCTACAGCAGAGCTACCACCTGAATCACCGGCGGGAAATTTAAATTTTAGTCAGCCCGGCGACGAATGTGTCCCTATGGTTGGTAACAATGAATTTAAAAATCGCGCCCTCGATTACGTCTAAAAGTTTAATTGATATCGAATATATACCGGGTGCATTTCAAAAGTGTCTCACCCCTATAACTTTTTTATTTTTCAGTTAAAAAAACAAGATTTGGTGTGTTAGTATATTGATATAATTTAGGATTGATTGACGTATTCAACTGTTTTCGGTCACTTCCTGTTTCACAGGAAATGACTACAACTTTTGATTTTTAATTTTTTTTGAATAAAGTAAAAAAATACCCAGGAGGGGATTATTCAATAGAAAATAACACTCTGAATAGAGTGACATATCATATGTCAACTTTTGACATTTTCGCATTATGGTTAATTTCAAATTATAACATGCTGTTCATAATGAAAATTTGACTCGAAATACCAAGTGTGTGGTATCAAATTATTCGTAAAAAAATGCTTTTTCCAATTATGCTAATGAGCCATCCTCGTTCCATTTGAAAAATTTGAGATATGATTAAAAATACGATTTGGGCATCTTTTAACCGGCCAGGACAAGACACTAAAAAGATTAGAAGATCAAATATATTTTTCCAAGTCTCTTTAATTAAAAATTAACGTTTTTAACATAGCCATAACACTCTAGACTAAAATTTAAAATACAATTTTTATTAAGCGAGAATGCCAAAAGTTGACATATGATATGTCATTCTATTCAGAGTGTCATTTTCTATCGAATAAAGTAAAAATATACTGAGGGTGCCATTTAAAAATTAAAAATTGTAGTTATTTCCGGTGAAACAGGAAGTGACCAAAAACAGTTCAACACGTCAATCAATCCTAATTTATGTCATATACTAACATACCAAATCTCGTTTTTTTCTCTGAAAAAATAAAAAAGTTATAGGGGTGAGCCACTTTTGAGACGCACACGGTATTTATTTATTTGTATTTTCTTCAGAATTAATAATGTCAATATAGGCATATATACTACTAAACGTCAATACTTTTTGTGCTAAATAATAATGACTGGAATTACACAAAATTTAATCAAATATAACAGCTCATTATTTGCCTGATAACACTTTATTTAAACAAAATCAATAAATATATTAGAACTTAGTAATACATTAATTTATTATAGCAATTTTATATGGATATTCTCTATTGATTTTTCTATGATATTAGCTAATAAACTAGTTAGTTCTAGTTACTGTAGTTTACTTATGAATGAATATTAATTGACGTATTAAGTATTTTTAATTAAATATACATATAAAAATTTGTTTTTTTTTCGTAAAAGGACCTTGCGAAATTCCAATCGTTAAAGTGCGTAATAAATTAGCATTTTGTATAAATTAATACAGAAGAATGCAAAAATGAAATTCTGTTTTTGTAATATACAGGGTGGTCCGAACTGTATTCCGGTAACTTCGGCAGCATATTTTGTAGATAAAAATAAGTAAAAAATTTCGTATAAATGTATGTCCTAAAATGCTTAGTTTCAGAGATACAGGATGTAGAAGTTTCATATTTATTTCGATTTTTTCCAAATAATTTCTGAAGTAACGTCAATATTTGGATGAAAATTGGTGTCTCGGAGTTTTTTGACATGAGAAGTTTGATTTTTATGTCAATATGATTCCTATTTGTAGGGAGCGTTACCTACATGTGTTTTAACTGTTTTGAAGAGTAATAACTTTTCGTCCGTACCTGTATAAAACTACTTAGTAAAAAATATACATTTCCGTGATTTTTACGTAAAAAATATCTCTTGGTAAAAATCGCTACGAGCAACCGTTCTCAAGATATTTAGAGTGGAAATATTCAATACCATATATAATATTCAATATGTCATTGACAAAAAATAAACATTATTTGACTGTAATGATAAATTTGGGAACATTTTATTTTTTTAAATTAATCATAAATTTTTCTTCAAAAGAATGATGATAAAACAGTTTCTGTTGAACTTTTGGCACAAAAACATTTCAAATTTATGATTTCAGTCTAATAACTACTTAGTCAACATGTTTAATTTATGTCAATGCTGACAGGTATAGAGAATATCGATTACAAATATCTCGAGAACCATTACTCGTAGCGATTTTTACCAAGAGACCTTGTTTACGTAAAAACGTTGTAAATGAATATTTTTTACACAGTAGTTTTATACAGGTACGGACGAAAAGTTATTACTCTTCAAACCAGTTAAAAATATGTAGGTTGCGCCCTCTACAAGTAGGAGTCATATTGACATCTAAATTTCTCATGTCAAAAAACTTCCATACGCCTATTTTCATCCAAATATTGACGTTACTTCAGAAATTATCTAGAAAAAATCGAAATAAAAATGAAACTTCTACACCCTGTATCTCCCTGAAATTCTCTCTGAAACTCTGAAACTCTCCCGAAACTAAACATTTTAGGACATCTATTTATACGAACTTTTTTACTTATTTTTATCTGCAGAATATGCTGGCGAAGATTCCTGAATACAGTTCGGACCACCCTGTATACAGTGTTACACATTAACTCCGTTCTATCTATTGGGAAACTTTTACTAAATAGTATAGAGTAAGATCCCAGAGTGATCAGACATAACTTATTTTCACAAGGATGCGTGTTTGCGGGGTTCTTCGCCCTGTGACACATTGGCAGATACCAGGTGAGAAAGGTAACTAAAAATAAGAGTTACTTAAATTGTATGGTTGATTTTTATATATTTGTTGTAGAATATTACACTGAAGTAGTATCAAAAGTATCAAACACTTTCCATGGACCAGAACTTTTATCAGACGCTTTAAAATTCCACAAAAAATGAACTTTAATACACTGAAATGAACTTTACTTGGCTTGAGAGCTAAATCCCCTCAAAAATATTTAGCCGTAAATGTTTGGTCATTACAATTTGTCTGACTGATTAAATATAACTTTATAATAGCTGTCTTAATAACATTAATATGATATGTAAAAATCAGACGTGTAAAAATAAGTAAAGTTTATTTATTTCATGTTGAGCTTTAAAGCGTCTGATAAAAGTTCTGGCCCATGAAAAGTGTCTGATACTTTTGATACTACTTCAGAGGAATATTTTACAACAACAACATTATATAAAAAGTATTAGTATTTAGGAGCTAACATCAATAGTCAGTGCGACCCGAAAAGAGAGATATTTTCAAGAATTGAGCAAGCGAGAAAAATCTTCGTAGGAATGAAATCATTTTTTACAAGACGAGACCTCAGTGCGGAACTCAGAACTCGAATGGCCAGATGCTAGGTCTTCTCTGTGTTACTCTATGGATGTGAGAGCTGGACACTGGATTCACAGACCGAAAAGAGAATAGAAGCCTTCGAAATGTATGTGTAATGCATGGATGCTGCGAATCTCATGGGTACAAAGGATCACCAACGATGAAGTACTCCAACGCATGCAGAAACAAAAAGAGATACTGAACACCATCAAGGAAAGAAAAATGCAATACCTGAGTCATGTGATGAGAGGTGGTAGATACGAAATACTGCGCCTCATAATAGAGGGCAAAATGCAAAGTAAAAGATCAGGTAGGAAGACGCCAGAACTCATGGCTAAAGGATTTAAGAAGATGGTTTGAACGCTCGTCTGCGGAAATCTTCCGGGCTGCAGTTTCCAGAGCTACAATTGCCATTTGGATCGCCAACCTTCAACAGGAGTGGACGTGATAAGAAGAAGATATATAAAAATCAGCCATATAAATTTAAGTTAAGTAACTCTTATTTTTAGTTACCTTTCTTACCTGGTATCTGCCAGAATGTCACAGGGCGAAACCCACACACACGCCGGTATTCAAAGCACATGAGAGCACTACTGAGAGCCTAAGGTTATGTCTGATCGCTCTGGCATCTTGGACTAATAGATATATTTTTAACTTTGGTAATTGAGAGTTGTGTTCTTAATTTCTCAAATTCAGAATATAAAAAAATTGTTTATGCACCATGTGCGCATATTTGAAGTGAAACTTCTTACTAACAGCTATTAAATTGAAGGATTTGAAGGACATGTTTGAAAAAGTGTAGTTTGAAATGTTGAAAAAATAATAAATTAAAAATTAATAAATAATTCGGTTCACTTTCACAGAATTAGTATTAAAATGAACGTCTGTCCTCCTGACGACTCCATTATCCACGCGCCAAGTTTGGTTCCGATCGACCCATATTAAGAAAAATTCTGATGATTTGGGCCATTTAGAGGCATCGGTTCGAAACGTCGGGAGCGTCATCCTGTAGCCCGTCCCCAATTATGCCGAAATCGAC